TTTTCCTATTGTAGACATGCCCTTTTATGGAGAAACTCTAATTGCTCTGGGAGTTCTCCTTTCAACCCCTGTTCCTCCAATCTGCTTTGCTACCTGTGTTGAGGATTTTCCCCTTAATGTGTTTTTAAGTCTTCCCAGACTGTACATTACACAAGAACTGTCTCAAAAGAAAATGTTTATAACTCTTGCACGGAAACCACGTAAGCATGAGTATTAGATTTGTTCCTGATTACATTAAATTCCACAATAAACAAGACATTGCCAAACTCATGCCAGTATTACATGCACAAAATTTTATACAAATAACTTTCAGGAAGGAAAGACTGTACCTTGCAGTCGCCAACAAGGAGTTTACTATTCAGCACTCCATTTACCCCTCCTTGAAAGGATGTTTGTTACAACTGACTTTTTTTCATATCAGCTGTGCACCTATGTAAGATAAATACCATTATCAGCTGAGAAAGCCAACACTGCTGGTGTAAAGCTTCACATCAATACAAAAATATTCTTAATAGAATCATTGTGCAAACTTTCAAACAATAGGCCACTGCTCTAGAGTGTGAAGCGCAAACTGCCCTTAGAGTTGTTTGTCTGCTGGAAATATTTCACATTCTGTTCATATTGTGAATATTATAAATTCAATATTTTGTTTAATGTTCTGCACCTGAATGGGATGATATTCATTTATTGGGAGAATTAAATGTGAATATAGTTTGCCCGGTTACCCTGTTGCTATATTCTGAAGCTTTACCATATATACTATGAATGCCCGAAGAGACACCACCAAGTAACCAGAAGCTAAGTAACTTTGACTTTGCTCATTTACGAGTATTATTTCATACTCCTCTCGTTCCTTAAAAACTGGGTAAATGTGGCATTTAGCCAAAGCTAGGAATAGGGCAGAGCTGCCCTGCCCCAAGGGATGTTTCCGACAGGGATTTTACCTCAAAGAGAATATTTTCTCCCTGAGCTGCCCCATGCACTGTGCAGCTCACACTGTCCTTTCTGGTTTAATTGTGGACACCTTCTGATGTTGTTGATCACTTAACTGACATGAGAACATTATAGTAGCTCTAATTTATGCCACTAGACAGGGCAGAACAAAAGTAGTGCAAAAGTGAGTCAGACTCATCTTTGCACCTTGCCCCTGAGAGGGGCTCTGTGTTTTGGAGCTACAGCTAAGGACCAATGAGTATAACAGCCATAGGGGCATCAGGAGACCTGGAGTTCAGAAGTAATGGTTGATGCACATCTCACAGGAATGGAAGGGAGGGATTACACAGGATATTCTTGGGTATAATTCCAAGTAACGCTGATAAATGGGCAGAAATAGAGACTCAGTTTTCTGTACCCTACTGATTCCAGATGGAGAATGTGTGACTTGACAGTTAAATAAACATAAATAATTTTTGAAAACCGCAGCACAAATGTCTAATTTACGTAGGAGTGTTTGTAGGCAATCCCATTACACCATTAGTATTGCCTGTGACCAAAAATACCTTTGCAATGAAAAAAAACCACATTATATTTAGGGTAAAAGCGGGCAGTGTGGGTGCATTTTGACAAACCTGCCATAGCACACAACTTGGGGTTCAACTGTTACTCCTGGGGGCGAAGCCAAACCATTAAAATTATACACCAAAATTTAAAATTTGTGCAAATTCTGCAGATTTTTTCAAAATAACACTACACAATTTAAATAATTTATTTCAAAATTGCCGTCAGCAAGTATGCCTGTAAGAGTACAGATATATCCCCTCCCCAGGAGTAAAGAAACTCCTATGACAACTCAGTTCCTGTTTCTCTGCTCTCTTACCCCACCAGAGCTCACCTGGGAGGCCAAATAGCCACAACTCCTCCCTCCCCAGAACCCAGTCATGACCCCTGAGCCAATATGCCCAAATAGCTTCCCCGTCGAACCCAGCAATACGGTTCCTCCTGAGCCAGATACCTGCACCCCCCAGCCTAGATAACTGCACCACCTTGCTCCCAAAGCCCTTTTGCCCAGATAATCGTACCTTCCCCCCAGAGCCCAGACACCTGCCCCCTTCTCTCGTACAGCCAATCCATGCCCCCCCAGAGATCCAGATGGAGCAACAGACCAATCTTCAGACCCAGGCTTGTATTGAGTTTCTTGCACACCACTCTCTCCTTCCCTCAGGACATGCTGGAAACAGCAAGTGACAGGAGCCTTCTTAACTCCCTCCCTCTCCCTACCAGCCGTGCCTTCTACAGGCAAGCTGGGCTTTACCAGATCTAGCATCCCCTAGTGGCAGCAGCCAACTGCACAGCACAGTACCTGTACATGCTGATTCTGTGGACATAAAAGATGTATGGATTTTTTGCAGGTACGCTTACATCCATTTGGAAAAATCTGAATTTCGCATTAGTGAAAAATGGCTAATAAACAAGCCATTGAAGATGTAGCCAACAATTTTAAAAAGGAAAAGAGCTTCAAATTCAAGTTCAGTGGGATAGTATGAGTCAATGAGAGAATCTCATTAAGGGTGTGTCTAGACTACAGGGAATTTTTTCCCTGAAAAAATGGCCTTTTTTCAAAAAAACTTCACCTGCATCTAGACTGTCACCGAGTTCTTTCGAAATTAAATTGAAAGAACACGATGGTTTTTTGACCACGATAAACCTCATTTTACAAGGAGGAACACCTGCCTGGGTGTTCTCTTTCGAAAAAGTGGCTTGCTTTTTCAAAAGAAGTGGTTGCAGTCTAGACTTTCAAAAGAGGCTTTTCTGAAAAATTCTTTCGAAAAACCCTCTTTCGAAAGAGGCTCGTAGTCTAGATGTCACCCAAGATATTAATATATCAAAGAAACCATTGGTCTCTTCTTCCACTCTACCATTTCTAAATTCAATCTCCTTCTCCTTCAGATTGCTCCTTGCTTAGCCTTCCATGCCGAACCCTCTGCAGGTTCTCACACTAAGGTGATGTCATCACAGCAAAACAGATTTTATTTTAAACCTCTGCCTGTGGTTGACATCACCTAGTTAACTTGGGGTAAAAGTCCAGGTGCCTTCTTTTTGCCACTAGGATTTACAGCAGTGTAGCTAAGGCACATTAGTTATCCTGCAGTAAAAATACACCCTTTTTTGGCAGTGAGGACAAGTCAACCACCTTTTCCTTTATATTGAGTCTGCTCAACTGCTATCAAAACCCCGTTGCCAACTTTGTCCACATATTTACTCTGGTGACACCATCGCTGGACCTAACCATGTCAATTATACGATCAAGGACACATATTCCTGTTCATCCAGAAATATAATTTATGCCATCATGTGCCAACAGTGTTCTTCTGTTATGTATATTGGACAGACTTCTCAGATACTTCGCCAAAGAATTAATGCCTACAAATCAGACATTAGACATCTTCATAAGGAAAAACCTGTCAGTTTACATTTCAACCTACCTGGACATAGTCTTAACGACCTTACTACATGAATCTTACTTCAAAGAGACTTTAACACCAGATTACAGAGAGAAACTTCAGAACTTTCATTCATGCTTAAATTTGATACTTTACCAATGGGCCTTAACAAAGATGCTAATTACCTTACACATTTTAAAGACAGCTTCCCCACTTATCACCTCTGACTAGCCATTCATTGACTTATCACTCCTGATTAGCTATTCCCTCTCCCTCACCCCACCTTCTGTTCTAAATCCGATTTGTCAGTTTAATAATGTGTTCACTTTTTTTTTGTATTCCTTTGGTATATATGGTCATGCCATTTCTCTTTCAGAATATGATCTAAGGAAGTGGGTCTGGCCCATGAAAGCTCATCACCTATTAAGCCATCTTGTTAGTCTTTAAAGTGCTACATAGTTTTTCCTTTTGTTTTAGCAAGATCAGACTAACACAGCTACCTCTCTACTATTCTTCAGAGTAAGGACCTGGTTAAACGGGTTAAATTATGTCCATTGGAAAGTGCTGGGTAATAGTATTAATCTTTAGTGTGTATTACTTTTTGCTAAGTATACTGTAAGTTGGAAATAGTCTCACTTGTTTGAACAAGGAATGACAAGATAAGCTACTCTTCAAGGAATATCAATATAGGATTGCAAGGGCTCTCAAAAATAGTAAGTCTGATTTTTAACTGAGAAAAGTCAGGAATCCTTAATTCAATATATTGTAGCTATATATTATTTTAGTACCACTACACAGAGAGCATGACCTGTTGCATTTCACATTAGCATTTTAAAACAAAAAATGAAGTTCCATTTTAAAAATCAGGGCTTACGTTTTGAGAATCATATGGCTAGATCTCTCATCATGGTGTCTCCTTATAGAACCTCTGAGTGAAAACCTGGCCCTCACTTAATTCAGTGGGAATTTTGCCACTGACCATGTTAATTTACTTCAATTGAACTGTTTGTACAAGTTTGGCCTGTGGGATCTGAATCTTGTGTAGGAATTTTAGTAGACTCCTCAGCAGTTCTACATGTATACTAAGTCTTCCTGTCAAAGCAGCATAACAATACTTTGCAGATGAAGAAAACTATATGAGTGCAAAGTGCTGTATACATCTCCCAGAGTATGTCTACCCAACATGTAACCACTTGTGGCTGTGTCAGCTGACATGAGCGCACAGGGCTATGGACTAATGCCTGATCTCAAGGACACTCCCTCCTCACTAGGTTCCAGAGGTCAGGCTTCAGCTTGAGCCTGAATGTCTACAACATCATTTTAGAGCCCTGTGAGCCCAAGTCAGCTAATCTGGGCCAGCGGAAGATATTTTAGGGAGTAATTTTGGGTTGACTTTCATACACTATTCCTTATGAGCTATTTGTGTGCACAGACTAGGAACTGTTGGCCTTTATAGCTGGACATGGAGCCTCATGAGTTTGTTGACCAATGCTATATGAACAGAGACCAATAGTGACAAAATCAAAAGCATAAACCAACCAGAATGTGCTTTAGGAAGCTAACCTTTTCTTCATCAAAAATATTCTGTCCATGTAAAATTCTAAGGTTACTTTACAAGTTCATGTTGTCCACATTTGAAATATGTTCTCAAGAATACATTCACAGCCCGTTCCCAATCTGATGGTGCTATTGGATGTGATTTATTTTTAAAAATACTTTTCATGAATAATAAGCAGCCACTGCCCCCTTCTGGTTGTATTCCCAGTTCCATACACACCAGGTGATATTTCCCCTGCAAGTGGAAGAGTGACAAAGACGACCCTTTAAATAACTCATTCTCTTTCCCAATTAGGTTGAGACATTAATGTTTATGTTCCACTAGCAAAAACGTATATGGAATGGAAATCATTTCTTAAACATGTTATGCTAACCAAACATGTACATTTACTGCTTAAAAATGTTCTGTTTTCAAATATTCCATTTAATATTTAGTGTAAACTTAGAAGCATGATTCATATTTAACCAAGTGCTTTCAAAGGGTCAGAACTTTAATGTAAAAATGAATGGGTTTTACAATTCTTGAATATATTGCACAGTTAGTTTGCCTCCTATCTTTTATTTGTTAAGTTTCATTTTGGGCTACCCAACATTTATACTATATGCGACAAAATATAAACAATGCTAATGTATATTCAAGTAACAAATGCAGTCAGAATTAAAATGTTACAATTTTCAGAAAAAACTCCTACTGAAGTCAGAAGAAGCTATGTCTGAAAAAGAAATGTAGGATCCAGTCCTATATTTGTGTAATTTAAAAATGGTGTACATAAAAATGTTAAATGGTATTAAATACATTGTAGATTTGGGGTAGATGGGTGAAATTCCAGAACCATATTTCATAGTTCTTTACAAAAGGAGAAACAAAGCAGTGGAATTATTGAGAATTTTAACATTTTAAACATTTATATCAGAAATTTCTATTTAGAAGTGGACTTTACTTTTATATTTTTGAATTATATATCATTCTAATTCTTTTATCTTTCTAAGTACAGAGTAAATATAAGTGCTATTAGGGGACAGAAAAGTTGTGAAATTTGGCTGAATATTTAGCTCAACAGTTTCCTTTGTAAAAAAATTTAATAATAACTGTCTTCTTTTGTTTTCATAGATTTCTTTAAAGCCCAGCACCATCCTTCTCGTCTAGCTACTCAAGTCTTTTTTTTAATTTTTCTATTCTCATGGTATAAGCCTCTTCTTGCATTTCCAGTTTTTCGTTTATCTCAGTCTGTGAAGACAATCAGAAAAAAAAGTGGTTATGATGGAGCTATTTTGTGATGCACATTTTCCTTATGGGTTTGACATATTATGTGCCTTAAAACAGACATTATCCTGAACATGCCTTCCTGTTTTGCAGATATTATGGTGTTCTAGTCTGTACTTATGTGATAACACTTTACCATATTACTAGGTACAATCCCAATGTTATATGTCTGCATGACTGGGAAGTTATATTGGGCCAGCCATTTTTCATGTAATCTTAAATTGGGAAATATGCTAATTTGTTTCTATTCTCAGATTTCTCCACTGAATACCAATTCAGAAAAATTGGTCTAGGATTTGGTTAATGTAGTACAAGCAGTCCCCGGGTTATGTACAAGATAGGGACTGTAGGTTTGTTCTTAAGTTGAATTTGTATGTAAGTCAGAACTGGTACATATTGTAGGGGAAACTCTAGCCAAACATTTCTCCAGAGCTCAGTTTTATTTTCCCACACCTCACTTCCCTCAGTCCTTTATTCTCAAGCTGAGGCGTCTGCTGAGAAAAGCCGCTCCGCGTCTCCCTGGTCTGCTGGGGGGGCGCTAGCTTCGTGTCTTCCTGGTCTGCTGGGAGGAAGCAGCTAGTGCAGGGTTGCCTCACCCCGTTTGTAAGTAGGGATCCGATGTAAGTCGGATCCATGTAACCTGGGGACTGCCTGTATTTTCTTTTACTACAGATATTAGGTCTCTTCTGTAATACATTTTTCTGATCCACTACTGGAACTTAGAAAGCATATTGGAAATAAATAATAAAAAACAAGGTTTATGAAATGTTTCTCATCTGACTTACATACATAATATATATTCATTATTATACACAGACACTCCAGAATTCTGAAGCATTTCAGTGCTTACATTTCCAATGTAATACAGGCAGTCCCTGGGTTACGTACAAGATAGGGACTGTAGGTTTGTTCTTAAGTTGAATCTGTATGTAAGTCGGAACTGGCATCCAGATTCAGCCGCTGCTGAAATTGATCAGTTTCAACAGCGGCTGAATCTGGACGCCAGTTCTGACTTACATACAGATTCAACTTAAGAACCCCAGGCGACCCCAAGTCAGCTGCTGCTGAAACTGATCAGCGGCTGATTCCAGGAAGCCGGGGGCAGAGCAACTCTGCCTCGGGCTTACTGTAGTCAGC